CTAGTTGCTGATTGCTGAGTGTTCTTCTAATCGAGTGGTGACTGTTGTTTCGAACTAAATCCCATTGAGTCTAATTATTTTCAGAGTGCTGGCGGTCAACTTCACGAAATTAACAGTCAATGGCAGTACGGCGACGCACCTGCGCATTTTCGCAGCGGAATCTGACTCTGCCACTCTGGTCTCCCCGCCCCTTGGGGGTCTGACCTCGGATTCCAGCGCTCCACTCAAGGGCAGCGCAAGCTGCTCATCCCACAGACCTGCAAACCCACACGCAAGCCAAAGAAGCGATTACAGCGGCGCAGCTACAATCATTGTGAATGTGTTGGGGATCAATCTGGAACACGATCCATCCATGAATCGTGCAAACTCTGTGCCACTAACGGTAAAGGTACTGTTCTGCGCAAGGAGACAGGAGCAAATCTTTCGACTGCAACACTCTCAAGCCAACTTCTATTTGTCAGGGTTATTGCCACGGTCTGGAGCTGTCCTTGTCAGGTGCGGTGGGCAGATTTGTGGAATAATTTTCTTTTCACACAGCCTCGCCTTCTGCAAGTTAAATGGTATAATTGTGCATCGACACTGGAAACAGTATCTCCCCTTGGCCAGATCACGCAGTCTCAACCGTGTTTCTGTTGACATTTTGTACCGGTGTCTTTTGCTGAATATGGGTGGGTGGCCAGGAGACAAGAGCTGTCCAAGAAGTCCTACTCGCAGGCACGGGATATTCTTTTTGAATTTCCACTCCGTAACATCTGCTGCATTGAAATAGACCAGTAACGTGGCCGCTACATGGTGGTCAACTTCAGAGGTGTTTGCAATCGCGGAATACAGTGTGTCCCCAAGGAGCTCATTTGATTAGATACACGATAGAGGACGTTGGAAATTCCCATCTGGTCCGTATCGTCCACCAATCGGTAAAGTAAGGAACGGACATGTCGATTGATATTTTACCAAATTAATGGCAGAACGGGTAGCCAGAAAGCAGTAGAAATAAGAAGTGCAGTCCTGGTAAGCGGGTGCTAAACTGCGTGGAATTTTCTGCTGATGTCAATCACCACTTTTCTTGGCGATAATAAGTTGACTGGTTGTGCCAAAATCCCTAAAAACGGCTGATGTTTATGCCATGCACCGTCGCTTGCCACACTCTTTGCATTGCTGTTGTCAAAACGAACCCCAAGTACACAATTCGACCGTCGTGGCTGCTTCCACGATACGATATCATACCCACCAATCGATCTACCACAGATCATAAACTTGGGGAAGAAGCTTACCATCCAGGAATTGGTATTGGGTTACAACAACATTGGCAGGCATTGCAACGGATTTGTTGGTGCGCTTCCTGTCAATGTTGAGGCAGTTTCCATGCACCCACGTCTTGCAGGCAACAATGGCGGGAATTTGGTTGAATTTAGCAATTGACAAGTTGTTAAAATTCACGCGCCGTTGACATCATTGGTACGAGGGGAAAAAATGCCAATGGAGCTTTGATGCACGAGGCCTGCAGCAACACTTACATGAAGCACATCAAAAAACTTGTTTCAAACTCGTTGTACTCGATTTTCGGCACTGGATGTCCAGTCTCCAACCGGCTGTAATGGACAGGGGGCTTGATGGGAGCCTAAACAGCCATCGCCGTAAATTTTCATCACGCTTAGCGTGCATCTGACGGTAAGCTCAGATACGGTCAATCCTTACCTTTATGCCAGGATAATTCAACACCATGGCCTAACAGTTGTAGACAACTTCTAATTGTCTTTGAGGAGGAAAAGGTCCTGGGATGTGTCAGTTTTAGCGAATTGAAGAGTGGGATATCAAAAGCCATGATGGTAAAGTGGAGCGTCTCAATGGCTGTAAAGTGGTACTTTCTGAGGCTTCTCTTGAAGACTGAGCACCTGAGGGGGTTCCTAGGAAAAGTCACGGGATGTTTGCCTTGATCAGCAGTGTTTTTGGGCATCCTTGCACCTTACGCCGATTTTGTGGCATGTGCATGTCTCGGCATGGAAGTAGCATGGAACGGTGTGGACATCCCGTGCAATGCAGGCCGCATATGAATACTCAGAAAGCCTCCGAAGCACGGCGTGCTTAAGAGACACTTGTATTCCGGCCTCTTTGGCAATCTCTTTAAGCTCCTCGACAGGGGCAGGAGGTTCAAGAACCTTCTCCGAGACCATCCTACAACCCGCTTCGAGCCGTTTGGGCATAATGCGAAACGAGCTGGCCACCAATTCGTATTTCGCTAATTAGCTATTATAATTTGGCCCTTTTTATCTTATAAGAGGAAAAGGGCCGAATACCACGAGTTCGAACGGGTACAAAAATTTTACGGCTTTTGGTTATTTTCGTGTTTTTGGCACGCAGAACGCTGATGAAGTGCATATAGATGTGCTCGCAAAAGGTGTTTATTTTTGGCTTTTCATGCTGGCGATTTGTGAGCCAGCAAAATTAAAGTCTCACGGGTTGACTCTTGGAAATGCTTTCTTAACGCGTCAGTATGTGATCAGAATTTGCGTATCACTTTTCGGTCAAATGATCCCTTATATATATATATATATATATATATATATATATATGAGATGTGAATGCAAACATGACTCCTTGTCAAAGTACAACAGCGTCTGAGAAGAATGCATGAGCAATGGGTCTTGGGATACAGATTGCCAATCGTAGAGTGATAAAAATGGCAGTCGAAGAAACAAATAGGTCTTCCAAGATAAGCCTTCAGAATCCAGAAAATTGATGAAATTGATTCCAAGATATTGAATCCACCAAGCAGACGGTGTGGACTTGAAATATCAGATGCTTCTGGGGCAGCAAAGAGCTATGTTATGGAACCAAATAGGCAAAATATTGGCTATAAGTTGCTTTTTCTTGTGAATGGGTTTATGTATTGGATTGATATAAAACATCAGTTTTTGATGTCGGAATTTTAACAATGGTGTAACGATAAAGAGTCCGCAGATGTATCTACAGACGTGCAAACAATCAAGCTCACAAAATAGGAATCAGCACAAGGACTAGCTTTCAGGCAAAACCGCACACAGACTAAAGAAAAAAGTGCCACTCGCGATCTCCTGTCATTAAATTTAACTAGAGTCATCTCGAACGATCAAATCAAATTCGAAAGCGACTCTTCGCCAAGAAGTCCTTTACAACAGGATGATACAAATGTAGCAAAGCACCTCCTCCGTCTGGAACTAAATGAAATAATGTGTTGACTGATCGCATTCCTATCATATACTTTTATTTTTCCTTCAAAATTGGACCAGCGTATCTACAATGTGTTTGGTCAATGCTGTCGAAAATTTATAGATAAAAAATAAGACATATGGTAGTACTTTGTAGCCAAAAGGCTCAGCACCAGAATTTGAACATTCGCGCTCAGTCCCCGACCCCAGCAAACCTGGCACCCTGGACCCAGGAAGGCTCAACGCACGAGTGATGCCCTTTCCAGTGGTCTTCACAGTATCGGGAGGGGAGAGTTGCCTCGGCGCTCGGGCTCTGGCCCAAAGATCGACAACCTTCGCAATGCACGATCGACAGAAATAGCACCTATGTCTGCGTACCGCCATCGATGGATGCTTGAAATCCCCCGCATTTTCCATGGCAGCACACCATGCCTGGGATCCCCCACTGCCTGAAGGTCTTTTGGTGGCTAAAGACTAGCCGCAGGATATTCGTGTGCAACATAAGCTCTGTGTCCAGCACAGATCTCCGATTAAGTGCCTGCCTGATGCAAGCAAACCCGCTTTCCAACCAGGCTTCAACCCCTCCAAACATGACAATGGAAGGTTTGGATGTTCTATCGGAGACCCCACATGTTGCTATGGTGGCGTTTTTTTGCATCTTGCAATGGTACGGGCCAAGCTCTTTTGCAGCGGCGCCCTTGAGAGCGGCGCAAATGGCATGCAAAATGCTCTTGCAGCACGTGTCTACCACAACCAGTTTCAGCGATCTTCTGGCTGCCACGCACAGAGGGCATGACCACATTCTCCCAAACCTTCCGAGGTGGTCTTAGCACCCCTGGCGTCCTTGCCCATGGTAGGGGATCTTTCTGCAAATGCCGTGATTGTGAGGCTCGCAGGTTTCTGAGTCTCCAATCCGTAGCCGCTGTCCGCATCAGGCCATCAAAACAATGGTGGCAGTCAAGGATGAAGAGGCACAAAACCCAGTTTCGTGTTCTTCCCCCTTTGGTAAGAACGGTGCTTACCTGCTGCCAAGAAGGCAACAACACATATCCAGTCTGGGCTGTGCGCCATCAATCGCAAGGCGACCTGGGCAAGGACCCGTTCTGGGGGCTGTTCGGCCAGGCTTTGAGAAACCTCGACTTTTTGGCCTGATTCACAAATGTTCAAAGTACTGTCATGTGGCTGGTACTTATCCATTGTCCAAAAAAATTTGGCAGTACATGGCAAATGGGCAGTTAGTGCCTTGGTCCTATTTTGAATGAAAATTAACAAGTTCGTGTTACAAATATAGCCTCTTAAACAAAATGTTTCATTTATTTCTGGACGGAGCAAGTACATTGGAAAGTTTTCCAAATAACTCCTTGGGAACGCACGCCATTCATGGAAAACAGCCATCAAGGGCCACGAAGGCTGCATCCCCAAACCCCAGTTCTCCACACAGTCTCCCGCCCCCCGTTTCAAGCTCAGTGCCATGCAAATGCACTTCTTTCAGGCAACTGCACGCAAACGGCAGCATTTTTAGCTTCAGCAGAACGCATACCCGCTTGGCACATTACCCAGCACTCAATTCGGCAACAATCGATGAATTATTATCAAAACTTCAGCGACAAAAGGGCAACACAGTCGCCCAGCACCAGGCGCACAAGGGGGAGAACCCAGCAAAGCACATGAAGCACACCCACCATTTCATTTTCTCACAAATTCGGCAGAGACACGTGCCATCGCACGGCCAGTGTGTCGAACTTTCGCGTTTCCTGTAAGCACGTTCATTCATTTCATTTATTTCCTCACAAGTAAATGGGTTCCAAACCCAACTCAGCCCGCAGCCCGCCCCTCCGCCACCATCCTCAGCGTCGCGTATCCCACCGCAGACATCACCGAGAAGCCCCAAACGGCGACAACGACCGCCTCCCGCATCGCCCTTGCCAACAGGCGCCTGTCCCAACCGGCGCACCGCCCCAGCAGGTACATCGACCTAGCCCGCGCCTCAAGGAAATAGATCAGCGCGCATGACAGCAGCGTGGCGCCCCAGATCAGGGAGCACATGACCAGCCAGCAGCTGGAGGCCCAATCCAGGGCGTCGGCCGGTGGAGAAGCTTCCGGGAACAGCGTCATGGTGGCATGCATGACTTTGTCGATGCTGGAGGCCAGGGAGAGCATGGTGGCCCTCTGGTCGTCTTGCTCGAACCACAGGTGGCAGTAGGACGGGGCGAAGAGGCTGACGGCGGCAGCGGCGGTGAAGGAGAGCCAGATGTGGGTGCGAAAGTCCACCTGGCAGCATGGGAGAACGGGTACGTTCATTGGCCGAAGTTTTGTTGAGCAAGACGGATTGCTGCTAATTTGGGAGAATTGCGTGTCTTGCACTCAACGGAGCACAGCCGCTGCATCAAGTTTGGCGATGACAAGAAAGTGTGCGCATGACAATGTGGTGCACAAACAAGGCCCCGAAGTGTTTATTCCATGCGGGTCATGTCCGCGTGTTGGGCGGCGATAAGCCAGTGAATTGACTCACAAATACTAGGAGAATCAAACATTCTAGCTGTTGGTGCCACTCTCGCTGTTGATATTTATAAAGTATTGGATTGTGAGGCATATCAACAGTGCTAATAATTCAATTGCCACACACAGGTGGTTTGTGAAGCCACCACACTCGCAACAACGTCTGACCTGTCCCTCTCCCTCAGTTTACTAAGAGTTTAGCAAACAGCCATTTAGTCACAAATCTTCCCACAACCTTCCAACCAAAAATGTCACAACTTTATTACGGCTGCCCAATGTGGGTATAATCGTCAACGAATTCAATTTTATTAAGTATTATCGCCTCGTTTATGATTTGTCGCACTGCTTCTCCATCACAAGGAGTTCAGTTTTCAGTGAAACTTCGAGCAAAGTTGTTTCCATGAGTTGGAGAAAAAGATCAAAAGTTCATGTCAATTCAGGTGTCCTCTGCCTAGTGAACCTGGAAATTTCACGCACAAGTAACCAAAGTACTCTTCACCCAACGTTTAAAGGAAACGGGGCTCAACTTTTTACTTGAAATTTGTAACTATGTGTATTGGGACCCAATCTTTCTGATTCTGCCCTCTTTTTTTGATCCAGCTGTGTTTTTTGCAACGAAAGTTCTCTTTAAAATAGACGACAATCGATGTGGGATAGAAGAAGTAATATTGATTCTTATAGATTCGTAATATTTATCTTGTTTCCTTCAAACATTAAAAGATGTCTGGAATGATGAAGACAAGCGAGATTGAAGGGTGGCGACCTGCGAGAGAGGCGCCTCTCCTATGGGCCTCCCCATAGGGCAGAGCACATGGCAATGGATGAACAAAAAGCAAAGGGTCACTTTCTGTCGGCCCCCTAAACAATAGGTCACATGCTAACGTCATTGTCCAACCAATGCAAAACATAACAAACATAATACTACCTCAGTTTCAAAAGCCATGCCCAACTTTTAATTTGCGCAAATGAAGGTTAAAATGCACAAGTCAGATGGCACCGCCGTTCTTTCGATGTATCAGAAAGAGTTGCAACAAGAGAATCCATTTCGTCGCGGCGTTGGCCATGGGCACGAGGGCTTGTCTTGCCCTTTCAAGGAGTGGAATGACCAGAATTTACGATAATTATCGCCATGAGAGAGGTATGCTTCGGTGGTTTGGTATCTACCGAAGATGCCTTTCAATTCCAAACAGAGTCCACAACAAAAAGGATTGGAGTCTGCAACGAAAATCTGGGGTGTCAACAAGAACCGCGTGGCTGCACAAGGTTGTGGCAGAAGGCCAAATATGGGCATCTTAGGGACACCTTGATCGCTGCAAAAGTTAGAAGGATGCAAATATTGACCCCAACCAAGAAGATGGCCTAGGTTGAAGCAAACACGACCAACCATTGAAAACAAGAGTTTTGGAAACATGATTAAGAACAATAGAAGAGATTCTCTGCAAAGAACACAATAGCGATGATGAGGGCGAGGAAATTAAGCAAGAAGTTATGAAGGAAATATTGCGAAATATGGTGTGGCAGGAGACGGGCAACATGGTGTTAAAATGTAGTGAACTGAATATGGAGATACAGCAACTGAGAACAATTACAGTGAGTAACATTCGATTGGTGTGCTTGTCTTGTACACATCTGGTAACGACCTGGCTTCCTGTGCTTGGGAGCAGCTATGTGACCGTTCTTGGTTGTCGTCTCAGTAATGATGCCAAAACTCTCTAAAGAGTGTGTTAACGCCTGTTTGTTGTCCAAAACAAGGTTCCTCATGAGGTTTGTGAAAATTGGTTAAGACATACCTGAATAGGGCTCATGCAAGAATGTAGGAAATTGAGGACCCATGTTGAATTGGATAGAGACAATATTGATAAGGTTGTGAAAGTCGTGATGCACTGGTGGTGGCTAATGTGAGAAGAAACGCGGATCAACCCCAAATCAAACGAGGAATCCAAATCTGGTGATGGAATGACTCATCGAGTCGATCTCGAGAAGTTATAATAACAACATCGCAGGAAATAGAAGTCGGGCACGACAGTTGGCATGATATATATCCATTATGGTCCGCACCTGGGAGCCCATCTGTATCACGAGCAGCGGCAGCGCCCCAGAGTGTACCAGCAGCCGCACCAGCGCGCCCGTGGACGACGCGTCCGGCGGCGTCATGCACCACTTGCAGGCGCTCATCGCCGTCGCCACCCCCACCCTGAAGATCGAAACCGCAGCCGTCCTGGTCCGGCCGTAATCCCGGCCGCTCGCCTCGATCCAAGCCAGCAGGCTGATCGCGCACGCAGGCGGGATGGCGAAAAGGGCGAATTCGAGGCCGTGGGGGAGGTCGCAAACGGTCCGGCGGGAGAAGATCGCGAAGGATGCGGCCAGGACGATGCAGGCAGTGCAGCGGTCAAAGGGGCGCAGGAGGGCGTCCAGGCGGCTGGCGTGGTAGCCGGGCTCCAGGGAGCGGTCCCAGAAGGTGAGGGTGCTTGTCCAAGGGGGGTTCTCCCCCCGAGGGCTCGATGGGGGGTCCTCAACGGCATCCGTAGAGGCGCAGGCGTTGGAGCTGCGTATGGGAGGGCGAGGGAGTCAGTGCCTCCAGCAAGCGCGGAAAGTGAATACCATGCTTCAAAAGACGCTGGGGATGCAAACAAGCAGGTTGCTGGGCAGCAGGCTGGTCCAAGGGGCCCGCCGGCCCGCGGGGTGGAGGGCCCGACTTCCGCTGAGGCTGCGGAGGTGCCCAGCATCGGACGGACGGGAGCCCATCGCGCTAGAGGACAGGGAGCCAATGCCTCAAGCAGCCCAAAAGGGCAGCATTCTTCAACAAACACTTGGGATACAAGCAAATATGCCAGCGGGCTGGGTCCAAGGCGCCCGTCCACTCGCAGACCGGTGGGGGCAGACCTCCACGGGATGCCACAGAGGCACCAGCGTGTAGGCAACGCGCGGGAGGACAGGGAAGTAATTGCCACCAGCAAGTAAAACAAGACACAAAAATGCGATTGGATGCAAGTATGGTGGCGGGCTGGTCCAGGGGGCCCTCCCCTTGCAGAGCCAGGGTTACGATATCTGTAGCAGCCCAGGCTGCACTGGAAGTCAAAGGTGGAACACAGTTGTTAAAAATGCAACTGAATTCGAGCCCCTTCTGGCGATGAACTGCACGGACAACGCAAAACAATATTTACCAATGGCCCAAGCAATGCTATTCGCAGAAGTGCTTTCATCGAAAAGTGGCAAAAACCAGTCCTTGCACCTGCAGGGTGGTTTGGGTCACATAGCTGCATGGAAGGAACGCCCACAACTCGTTCCCCACAACTTCAAAGTCCGAATCAAATCCTCGCGAACTGCTGGGAGTCATCTGCCACCTCCTGCTGTGTTGTATGTAGCGGGGAAGTTAATTCAACTCAGTTGCCAGTTGACTTTCGTGGTACGCCGTTTTGGAGATCTGAGCAGTGTCAGCGAAACCCACAGCTGCATCTCTGGCATTGGGGCCGGCCATTTTGCAGGCCCTGCAAGACACAGCCCATGGGCATCTGTTCCACACTGTGAGCAGGGGGCGTAGCACTGTGGCAGCCACAGTGTGGCTGGATTAGGGGTTGACTTTTTCGGGTATCTGCTCCAGTTCCAGCCTTGAAGAGCAGATTTGAAGGTGCGATTTAAGCAGGATGTTGGAGCTGTCTTTGAGTCTTTACTACAACAGCTGGATCTATAGCTTCGTGTGAGGAGACTGTACTTTCCAACAGCAGGTGTCTGACAACAAGGGACGGGAAGAATGGCGTTGAGGCGTATGCCACTGTTCGTAGCACATCCAGCTGTGTCCTAAACAGCACAGCGCCTCCAGACAACCAGCGCGATGGGTGTGGCTGCTTGTTCGCAACATCCATGCTTATACTCCAGCTGACCAGTCGACACCCACTTTTCAGCCCGTGAATTAGTGCAAAGAAGGCAGTCTTAGCACGGATACCGTCGTTGGCGTTCCCTTCTGGTGGCCATTGCGTGGATATCCTTGGGAACCGTGCTGCAAGAAGGCACCGGCGCTGTGGCGATTGGCAGAATCAACTGCTGCACCGGTTGAGACTCGTGGGTCGCGGCGATGTCACAGCTCGTCCTTTGACTTTTCGCCAGCGAACACTTCCTACCAGTCCTGTTTTTTTGAGCTGAGGACTCCACACAGAATGTACCATGGACTATTGCCGCACTTCACCAATCGCGGGGCCCCCCGGGGCAAAAGATGGAGACGCCGGGCGCGCGCATCCACGAATTGTTCGGATTGAGCCATCAGGAGTCGTCAAGGCGGGTCGCACGACTTGGCTGATGGTCCCAACACGCCGAACTCGTGAACCACGGCCCCATGACAACACCACGCTCATACGCACGAACATTTTTTGACCGAGCGGCAACGCCATGCTTGTGCAGGGGACCCAAGGCCACATTCGCCGACATAAATCCAGCTCAGCTCCACCCCGCCCGTCCCAGCTCGTCCGCTCGACCCAAGCCCGCATTCGCCGACTATCAGTTCAGCTGAGCTGAGCTGAGGTCAGGCGCGCCCCCCACCCCCACCCACCCACCCCTGTTCAGTAGGTTGTTCGGCACCAGCAGTACTACCCCTGCAGGCCCAAGAGGCTCCAGCGGGCCCTCGCTTTGGGATTCGCTCCCAGGGCTGCGCCCCTCCGAGCCGCTGAACCCGTTAGCCCGGCTGCGGTACGGCTCGCTGCAGGTTCCGGGGGCTCCCTACATAACAGTACCGACACCAGTGCTACCTTAAGTACCAGTGGTACCGGCACGCCAGTGTGTACCGCCCCAGGTGCGCAATTCTTTGCCGGCCGCGCCGCCTAAAATTGGCCCTGGAGTTGACCCCGTGTTCAAAATTGACTTAAAATTACCCCGACGTCTGACAGGGGCTTCCGCCAGTCTGCTGTATGCGTGACGCCACGCGAGCGTTCTTCGGCCCGAGGAGGGTTGGGGACGCCAGGGCGGCCAACAGGCGGTGAACGTGTGGCCGCCCTCACCGGTGGGCAGTTGCTCGCGCGCTCGCTTGCGGATGGATCCGCCCTTCCTGCTCTTCCCACCCCCCGCAAGGTCTTTGCTAGGTCGAAGAACTCGCTGACCTCCAGGGCGCCCGCCTTGCCCTTTCCGCAGCGCGGCAGGCGTTCATGAGCAGTGGCATAGGTGGGCACCTCAACGTGGACGGGAAGCGTGCTGTTGGTCCTGTCCCGTTGAGCTTAAGCGACTGTGAGGCGAACGTGACGCGATGTTGTGTGTGTGGGGGGTGGGGTGGGGTTATGGGGGGCTTTCTTGGGAGTCCTGGCTCTGGGATGCTTGCCTCTGCTGGGACATTCACTGGCCAGCCCTGCAGACAGTTGTGTGGACAGTTGTATGGCCAGGCAGGCGGGGGGGGAATTGGCGGGAGGGGGGAGAGGCGTTCCACTGCGCTGGGGGCGGGTATGCGACGGCACACAAAATGCGAGGCGCTGTTGCCCAGCCGCCAGGGCGGCGGGAACGCCCGCGCCCTCTGTTTTGCTTCTTTCTTTTCTTCTCTCATTTTGGGCTGTGGCCGAGGGGCCGTCGGGCGTTTGGCGACGCGCCCTCGCCAAGGGCGGAGGCGCCCACGTGCCGCATGAGAGGCGGGAACGCGCACGTCGAGGGATCGCGTGTCTCCGTATGGGGAAGATGGGGCCCTCATCTCACAGCTCGCCGCTGCTCGCGCTTTTGGCACCGCACCATCGGAACGTCGAGCATCCGCGCCGGCGACCTTTAACCCACCTCGACGCTGCGCCTTGTTTCTTGACCCCCAAATCGTCGCCCAGGTGTTGCTGGCTCTCTGCCGGCCCCTCCGCGTCCATGTCGCCCCTCCCTGGGGAGCCTTGGGGTCCGGCGGTTTGGGCAGGGTAAGAACCGAGCGGGGTAAGGGCGAGGCGATTTCCTAAAGGCAGCCGTTCAGGCGCTGTGCAGCATGCGCTGGTGTTGGCGCGGGTCTGGCCCCCTCCCTGATCGGCGGGACACAGGGTCCTTCATTCTGCGGGCGCAAACGCCACGCAGGTCCGCATGTGCATGTGTAATGCGCCGACCGACGGGCCGACCGAGGTTCGCCAAAGCCGGCAGCAATCAGATCCTTCCCATGGCGTGCACGCATGCCTACACCGCTGGGAAAGGCACAGTCTGTGTCAAATGTCTGTGTTTAACAGAAAGGCAGTAAGAGCATCTATCGGTGGGCGCTGTTCGGCACTTCGAATATCAGCACACGTCAAAACGGCACCATTAACGGTTGGCGAGCAACAGCACCCCAATAGCACCGCAGATGCTATTCGGTGCCGAGCGGTGCTATTCTGGGCCCAAATAGCACCGCTCGAGGCCAAATAGCACCCTGCAATAGCACCCGGTGCGATTTGCGCAGAACATTGTAGTGCCTGCCGTGACGCTATTCGGCGCAGGAACAGCACTCACCATTGCGGATGCGCGCTGGGGAGCAATAGCACCAGTGCTGTTTGGCAAATGCCGCTTTAGCACAGTGGCACGGCAGCCAATGAGAACCGTTCCTGGATAGCTCTACCGGTGCAATA